CTGCACCCCCCTCCAACCCATCTCTGCTCGGTATGAAGAAGTCGGTGAGGAAGTGAGAATGTCAGACTCGTCACTTCGGCGACGATGGCTGCCGTGACTGTCCGCCTTAACCTTTAACCCCCCGGCTCTCAGCTGTACTGATCTGTCCACCGCTGTATGTATTATTAATGACCGCCAAATTCCACACATGAAAGGCCGGCTTTGTGGGCTGGCATGAAAGATCCTGTGTCCACTCCCTCGCCGTCCCGCTGGTCGCCTGTTTTCTGCTCTCGGCCTTCCATTAGGTTTCTCTCTTGCGCCGAGTTTCCTGCTTCAGCTCGGAGTCTAGACTTTATTATCCCTGCCAGCTTATCACGATGATATCATGTCTTTGTTTGCGTTCACTCCTCCTGAGCAACACTGTTGTCTCATGCTGCAATACGCCAATTAAAACCTCGCATTTGTCTGTGCGCCGCTTTCTTCTTTTTTTGTGTGTGGAAAGAACTTCAAATACTCAGAAATCAAACCAGAGCCCCTTCTTGCTGGTATTTCATACTCTAGAAGTTTCTGTTCTGTGTGAGTAAAATCACATGAAGACTTGACATTTCTTGCACCTCTCTGTGGAGCCAGTGGCTCACATGGACTGGGATCAACAACAAGTGATGCAGGAAATGCCAACAGTGGCAGGGTGTGAGTCTACTGCCCTCCACTGGACAGAAAACATTACTGCGACAATGTTTGTTGTTGAGCTGCCCTGAGATTAGAGTTTAGTTGAACATTACACAGATGATGATTTGTCAGATAAATGCATGTTCAGGTTTATTGGTTTGTTATTGCACATGTCCGGTCATTTAACACGGCGTTTTTAATAGTCTAGATCTGAATCCCACTTTGAATTATGGAAAAATTATGAGTGGGATTTTTAAAAAAGTAAAAATAGAAAAAAGTTTTAAAAAAAGGTGGTCCATGCCTGAAATAAGGAAAAAACAAAATAAAAGTTTTTACACATGCACAGCTGATAGAAACACATCCCAAAAAGCCCACATAGTTCTACAAAGTATTGATCCGGAGGGGGAGTCAATACAAGCACAAGGCACATCTTTCTGCTTCACAATTATGCATAGTTCTGTGTTGGTGTATCGTGTGAAATCCCAAGAAGATGCACTGATGTTTGTGTTTGTATTTTGACAAAAAGAAGCAAAATCTAGGGGTTATGGAAACTTTTGCAGGATACTGTATTCGCTCCCCTTTCTAACGCCCGCAGCAATTTCAAATATAAATAGAAAAGCACCGGCTAGCCACTGACAGGATAAGCAGATATGAACAATGGATGAACGTACCTTTGGAGTTCGTCTCTAGTCTAATGTCAAGATGACTGTGTGCATCCCTGCTTTAGTGTCTTATGCTGCTGAAATGATTAATGAGTCTGTCCTTGCAGCTGAATTATCAACACAAAAGGTGATTGGGGATGTGATTAAAGTAAGGTAATTATTTCAAAGGGGGGCAGCTGTAAACAGCATGTCAAAATATATATTTTTTAAAAAGTCCCGTTTCACCACAAGCCTTTCCTCTCGTCACCTTAAAGTTGGGTTTTAAATGTCTCAGTGGATTGCAAACATCAGAAGGGAACTTTCCTTCATTAATTAGCGGATTGGAGACTTTTTAATTAGTCTGCCATGAGTTTGTTTCACAGGCTTGTCTCTTCCAAACATACTTTGTCTGGTAAATAGATGCACCTTTACCTTGATATGAAGTTCATGCTCTGAATTAGATACAGACACAGTTGAGGTGAAGAGGAACAAACATATGATCTCTGAAGGAAAAGCAAATATCTTTGGATATTTTAAAGGTTCAGGAAGCAAATCCCAACAAGCTCAACGGTTAAGCAAGTCAGCCATGTTGAAACATTTATCTAAATCACACCCGGTGTTGTTTTCTGTACTTAGATTTGAGGCTCTGGGGGAAAAAAAAGGTCTCAGGCAGTATTTTGAAACTGATAAATGAAAATGAAAAGAAAAAGAAGAGTGGATTAATTTTCCCAGAGACTCGATGCGTCTAATCAAAGCCTGAAATGCCGCCGCCCTGTTAAGGACGAGACAAAGTGACACGTGTGAAACAGCTTAAGTGCAGTTACGCGTTCAAAAACGGACATACTCATGTTTCAAAAAGAGGTTTCGCAAAGTTCACAAACACTTTTTCCAATGGAAGTTTCGTGAAAAAAAATTATTTACTAGTCATTTCCCATCTAAGGAGCTTTTCTAAATTAGGGCAAAGATTCTCAGGATCTTGTTTTTTTGTTTTTGCAAAACAAATAGCGCTGTCCCATCCTCTGCACTTAATCACCCGCACAAAAGGTATGATCCGCGTCTCTTTTTTTTTCTTCTTTTACTTTCACAATCACTCACTATTTCAAATTGGTCTGTCACCTCAAAGTCCAAATAAATTATGGCTACAGTGTAACAAAACATGAAAGCTGTAACGAATCTTGGCTTTCTGCATATTAATGTTTTACTTCTAAAATAATGCCATTAAAATCTGGTTTATTGTCATTCCCCCTGGAGCCTTTTCTAACCCTGGTTGACTTTTTGTATTCTTCCAAAAAAAAATCTCCCACAGACGATTTGTTTGTTCAAACAGACTTTTACAATGAAGCCTGGAGGCCTCACTGCCGTGGAAACCGTGCGAAAAGTCACACATCCCTCATTGTTCCACTCTTTGATAGTGAGTTGTTGAGCACCTACCAGGAGGTAATTGATAAGGTGACCCTGTCTATCTAATTATCGACTCGGCGCGAAAACAAACCATCGTCTTTTCTGGCGGGACATTCAGAGTGATCACTCTCACAGATGTGACAGTCTGCACCACAAGGTCTTAGCTCGCATTACCCATCACTCCCCATGCTTGGAGAGCGCTGATTGTCCTCAAGGCATTGGCTTGTTTCCTAATGAGATGGGGGAGTGGCTGAGCTCCAGGGCACGTCCAATGACGACCCAATCCAAACATTTCATCTTCTGTCAACAAGCTAAAGAACTTTGAAGAAAAAAAAAAAAAATCCTCAAAATTCCTGTGTGGCATCTCCATTTTTCTACCTTGTGAGTGGGTGTGCAGGCGTGACGATCAGCTCTTGCAACACGTCGGTGACACACGGCGATGACTCACTGATTGCATCTGCATTCACAAGGCTGATCGACGCCGCATGAGTATATGCTGCATCACCTTTGAGGATTTCTGGTTAAATGAGGCTCCCGATATTCCGACAGAGTTTCCTCAGCCGTCCCCGGAGGCGATGAAGTCGAGGCTGCAGCTTAATCATCATATCTGCCTGCTTTCAGGCACTGATTGGAAATACAGTGGTTACTTTCCAGTAAGGGTTATATAATGGTGAGCACAAAGTTTAAAAAAAGAAAAAAGAAAAAAAAAACTAAACAAAAGGAAATTATATGTGTATTCAATTCTTTATTCTAAGGTCAATGCAAATGATAACAACTTCTAATTCCATGGAAAAGGGATTTCAGTTCATGGAACTTGTTCAAAAATGGTTCCTCATGTCAGTGTGACAAGAGGTTTAAAGTTCATGAACAGGGAAATAAAGAACAGTGTCATGCCAGGTGGCAGCAAAGAAGGAAAACATGGACATATTTGAAAGCTTTGAATCGGGTGTGGCAATTGTGTTCGGGGGAAAAGTTGTCTTTCGTTGTTTGGGCTCCCATCAGGTCTCGTAATGTTTCTCCAGTTATGTCACGGAAATCTTGCTTAACACTGTCATAAAAATAACCCTTATTTTACGAGGCCACTTGAATTCATATCAATGTGTCAGGCTTTATTCATAGGCCATTTTTTGTGTTCTTAAGAAGTAATCGCATAGAAACAAGAAACTCAATTTATAATCACACATGACAAAGTTTTTCTTTTAAAGAAAAGAAATTGTATTTTTGTAAATAGTAAAAAGTATGATGGAGTATTTAGGCTGAGAAAATAAAAATAATAAAAGTCTGATAATAAAGTAATGGAATTACAATAACAAAGTCATATTACTATGAGAATAAAGTCAAAATAATATAAGACTAAAGTCATAGTGTTATGACTTTAGTCTTGTAATATTATGAATTTATTCATATTATCGCATCTTTATTCTCGTATTATTTCAACTTTATTCAATTAATAACATAACTTTGTTCTTGTATAAGTTTATTCTCATAATATTATGACTGTATCCATTTAATTTTCTATGTTTTTCCTAGGATGGACCTAATACTCAAGTGTAAGCAATACAAGAAATGACACATAATCCCCAAATAGGATTTTCAAACTTTGGATGACTCTAATTCAAAAGACACATATGTAAGACATTTTGATCTATTTAAAAAAAGTGCAGCAAAGCCAAACAAAGATAAAATGAGAACCTTTGTTTGGGTCTGAAAAACCCGTTCATTTATTCCACAGAATCATCTCATGTCATAAAGTGGGAACCCCCAAACATACATACATACAATTCCTTGTTGTTATTGTGCAACAAACTGACTGCAGATATCTCTACAGGTAGAAGTTTCCAGTAACCTGTATCATGACTCAAGCAACAGTAAACCCAAGAAGCAGTGATGTCGAAACTAAGGTGTGGCTGGTCTTCGAGAGGACTGGGGGCAGTAGCTGTGTCGACTGTGCGATAACAGCGGCACTGCGCCTTTAACTGAGCAAGGCAGAGTCTCCATTTGGTGACGTAGGACGCAAAATGCGTAAATCGAGAACAGGAAGGGCTGAGACAGACTGGTGTCAAGTTAGCGAAAATAAACAAGAATTAAACCGGAAGTTCAGGCAACTAATGCCACGTGCATGGATTTTATTACGACAATATAATGCTAGTTAGTAAAAAAAATAACAGTTTATAGCTGCATTAGATTTAATTTTATTTAATTTTATTAGGGCCTGGAATGTAAACAAGTGTGTATTTTTGAATAATAATGTTTATTTTATAATTTGGCGCTTTTATTTTGAAAGCAAGCTTATGCTACGGGTGACTCGACGTCCGCCAATGAAAGCAGTCAACGAACGGGGGCTGCCTGCGTGAAGGAAAACGGGGGAAGCTCGGACAAGAACCGGCTGGGCTGTTGTCGGAAACTCAGCATGCTACAGTATAAATGCTGAGCCTGGAGCCGAAATACTCGCATTTACTTCCCGCACGGCGACGGTTGACGGCCACACCCCGTTTTTTTTTTTAACCGCCCCAGAGCTCGCGGAGAAGTGCTGGCGGCTGCGGTTTGAACGCCAGCAGGGGCGGCTAGCGGGTTCAACAGCGGAGAGGAAGCGGGAGTGTCGGCTGCCTCGAGAGAGAGAGCCATGAGAGAGTACAAAGTGGTGGTTCTCGGGTCCGGCGGGGTCGGGAAATCCGCGCTCACCGTCCAGTTCGTCACCGGCTCCTTCATCGAGAAATACGACCCTACGATAGAGGATTTCTACCGAAAGGAGATCGAAGTGGACTCGTCTCCGTCCGTGCTGGAGATCCTGGACACGGCGGGGACCGAGCAGTTCGCCTCCATGCGAGACCTCTACATCAAAAACGGACAGGGCTTCATCTTGGTCTACAGTCTGGTGAACCAGCAGAGCTTCCAGGACATCAAGCCCATGAGGGACCAGATCATTCGGGTCAAAAGGTACGAGCGGGTGCCGATGATCCTGGTCGGAAACAAAGTGGACCTGGAGGGCGAGAGGGAGGTCTCGTCCGGCGAGGGGAAAGCTCTGGCGGACGAGTGGAACTGCCCGTTCATGGAAACCTCAGCCAAAAATAAAACGTCGGTGGACGAGCTGTTTGCAGAGATTGTCCGACAGATGAACTATGCCAACACACCAAATGGCGACGACAAGTGCTGCTCGGCTTGTGTGATTCTTTAAGAAAAAACAAAACAAAAACAGGACAATCATAAAGTTTTATTCTCTACTCGGTAAGTCTGCACACAACCGAACCCCACAGGCAGCTGTCACATTTCTGTAGCATGTGATTCGATATGTTTTGTTACTTGTAGCTTTCTGGATCGCCTGGTGCGACCCTGGGTGAAATATATTCGTTTTTTTTTTTTTTTTTGCATTTTACAATCCATTTTCATTGACAAACGCATAACATGTTCGATCTCCTGTCGTTTTAAACCAGAAAATTAGGAAATATCCCTGCAGCTCCTTTATTTGTAGCTGTGAAGAATTTTGCAGATGTAGCGTACAATTATTAGAGATGTACTGATCCAACTTTTCCTGCATGCTGAGACTCGTTTCCTATTTTCTTTGAGGTCTGACTTGCTGATTCAGACCCCAACTCCAATGTCTGCAATGGACACAAAACAAGACATGACTTATCACAGAGATACAGTTACAGTTCCGCCAGAAACCTACAAGATCACCCGCATTAATGCATCACAAATGCATCTCCAAACTTTCACAGACCTTTACTGTACTCTGAAAAGTACAGTAAAGGTCGATGTACCAACTATGCTTCTCCAGGTATTGGAATGACGACATTTTATTTGATTTTTTTGTTTTACGAATGCGATGAAATTGGGTGTATGGGGAGATTGGGTATTTAACTAATTGTCTTTCCAATCAAATGAGAATTGGAGGATTGATCCACAACTTAGGTAGCTAGCCTGGTAACTAGCCTGCAGTTTTGGGAGATTTTGCTAGCAGATGACCGGCTGAAGTTAAAAAGCCACTTTTCCCCTATGAGAGTGATGACTATCACTCTGATGTAGCCCGGAAGTAAAACGAGATTAAGTTTGAATATCCCTGTTTCATTGTTTCGAAAAGTTGAACCAGATTTAATTGACTTAATTTCAAACAGATTTTCTTTTTTTTTTTTGGGGGGGGTTATTTTGATTTTGATGTGTGACACTAAAGTAAAAAATATTGAAGTAAACTCCTTCTAAACGTAGTAAAGTGTGCATAGTCTTAACTTTCTTCCAGTCTGCTTTTAATCTAGATTAAAAACAGCAATATCAGTAAGAAGTGCAAAAAGTGAATCTCTGGATCACCCAAGTCATGTGTGGAGGTTAATAATTAAGGGGCAATAAACTCTGAAAGCATTTCAGATCTTAAATTATGTTCCACAGTTTATATTAAAGTGTTGCAAGTTGGGACCTTAAATCTCTAAATGTGTCGCTCAAACCATCCTTCTTCAATAATGCCATGAAATGTTTTAACAGATATTCTCCCTGACAACCTCGAGAAATTGAGATGAAAGATTTTCCATCTTTTATACAGGTGATCTGATTAAGCATGTGCTCACAAATTAAATATGTTGATGTTTTGGATGAGATAGACTATTTCATTACTTTTCAAAGATTCCTTTTGGAATATTCTTTAGATCAATACTTAAACCTCAAATCCTGGTATTTCACAAATAGGAATTACAAAAAAAAAAGTAATGCATGATAATCTTGGTACATTCTAGATTGTCACTTGGAATCAATGAACTTCTTTTTTTTTGCCAGTTTAAACTCCAGGATAGTTCTCACTGGAAGGCATATGTAGCTTATCGTTTTACAAAGCAGATTGGAGAAGTTTGGAACCAATTTGCAGAACTTGCAAGAGCAAGAGCTCCCTGACCCAATTAAATACAGCAAACAAACCTGTTTGCTGAATTTGTTTAACATTGAGAGGAGGGAGGTGCCCAACTAGTCAGCATGTGCAATTTCACGAACGAGGTTAAACACAGAAGTTGGGTCACATTTAGAGTTCACCAAGAATTTTTTATTTATTCATTCATTTATTTATTTCATTCAATAACCCAAAAATAAACCTAGAAAGCAAATGTACTTTGTCAATATTTAATGTGAAGTTGTGAATTCACTACTCTCTCGTGTCTTGTTTGGTGGCAGTGTGTTGCAGCGAGTCTGTACTGTGGAGCTCGTCTTCGTGTCTCACCCTGGCCTTGGAGAAAATTGAGGGGAGGAACGCTGCAGGGGACAGGAGCAGGTGGAAAAGGAGGAGGAGGAGGGGAGCGGCGGAGGGGAGGGTCCCACTCTTCAGGAATTCTGCTGGGTCGGAGTTTCTGCACAATCAAAACGTCCGCCGTCGATGTCAGCGTAGAGTCGGATCGAGAGTTTCAGAAATCCCAACCCTGCTTTCTGACCGGAACTAAACCTCCTAGCGGAAAACAAAAACAAAAAAGATATACTTAAGAGGAACTCGTAAAATGGGTATTTCTGTATGTGAAGAAGACAGGGAGATAGAATATATATTTTGTTAAATGACTGCACAGAGGACAACATTTTTTATTTTTAGGGGGGTTTTTTTTGAGGAGAAATGCTCTACGACACTCCAAATCCTATGTTTTCTCTTCTTTTCCAAAGTCAAAAGAAAACCACGTACCTGCCGGTGGAGTATACGCGACGAGTGCCACTCTTTTCTTTTTCTTTCGTCTTTCCCTCCACACTAGCCGAAGCGCCATGGAGACGCTGACCTGATCGCCCATCGTGTCGAGTGCCTTTCCGAAACAAATCAGCTGTTCAGATTTTGTGCCAACCTGTACACGCATCACCAAAAGAACCCTGTCGACATGGCCATTCACAAGCTTGTGAACTCTTCTTCGGGATGATTATGTAAACCTGATTAACGACAGCAGGTCTTATTTTTGTTGTTAGTAGAAAAAAAAAACGGTGGAATTCTGTTTGTATTATGTTGGCCGCCGCCTTTTTTTTGTTTTCTTTTTTTTGTTTTTTTTCCATGTGACGATTTGCATCCTTCGGCGTCGGCTCGGTCTGGCCAGATTTCTTTACTGTTGAAATGCACAGGTACTGAAACCAACCTCGGTGTCGTAACAATGCACAACACTTAAAACTTTCGTTTACTCAAAGGAATCCCGTTTGTTCTGTTTTTTTTTGTTGTTTTTTTTTTTGATGATGTTATTGTTGTTTTCAAACAGGAAATGTGAAGATGTACCATTGACGAATCTAAACCGATTGTAAGTTTAATTTCAAATCAGCCATACGACAGTCGGCTGTTTTAAAGACAATTCTTTTAATACAATTTACATTTAAAAAAAAAAAAGAATTGAGACTGCTTTTGTTTTTTAACATGTTCCACTAGACATATATATCATGTTTGTATTGACCAGTTGGGCATAGGGCTAAAACTCGTCTTGAAACTTCCACAAATACTCAAATTATATCCGGTTATGACAATGTTTACAATGTGTTTACAGTTTACAGTAGACTAACCTCAACCCAAAACCACAGAATTGTATGAATGGCATAAATCTTTACGTTATCTACAAGCTAACAGGAAGTAGGCTGTCAGGGGGGGAAACGTCCAACACCTTTTGTTGTTGGTACACTGCCTTTCTTGTTCAAAAGCAAACTGTAATTTGTCGCTTTAAGAGAAACGTCAAAGCCACTGGTTTTTACCTTTTTGGGGGTTTTTTTTGTTTTTTTTCCCGGTAACTCAAAAGTCCAATTTTCTAAATTTTTGTTCTCATGCTGCTGAGCCACGCTGTCCTTTCAGCCACAACAACAAAACTCTGCGGCTAACGCTGAAACCACTGTGACGTGAAATGTCTACCTGGAAAAAAAAAACCCAGCACGGGGTTTTTCTGTTATGAGTAGTTTGAAAACAAGATGAGAAACTTGGCCTTGTTAGTTTTCACAATTCTAGATGATATGAGTATTGTGTGTGTGTGTGTGTGTGTGTGTGTGTGTGTGTGTGTGTGTGTGAGAGGATGCTCCAGATGTAGCAGACCTTGTAAAGATGACTTGAACTGCACAACAAGCTTGCTGAATATCGCCTTTGCTTGTTCTCAAGTTCAAAGTCTTTCTATCCACCCGGCATCTCCTGATGCGTCTCTAAGACTTGGCCAGGCACTGAGGCTCTTTGGGAAAAATGTCTCTAGCTAACGTGGGTGTAGCACCGTAACATCCCAGCTGCAGTCGTGGGATGCGGAGAGGTGGGTGGGACTGATTAGCAGCGCTATTCAGCTTCTGTTTACCTTCCAGCGCTACCTAAACGACCGCAGTGTGGCTGAAGGGGTGAGGAGTAAACGAACGCCAGATAAACTCCAAATAGAGTCCAGTCTCTCTGGGAGCAGATGTGTCTGCCTGTCAGTAGCCTGCATTGGCTCAGATTGCTGCGTGGGACGCCGCATGCTTGGGGTATCTGTTAGCCCGGGCTAAGCAGTGGTATCGTGTGGACCGTGTGACTACGGTGCTCTGGGAGGTTTGGCATATGGCGAAAGACTCAACTGGTCGGATTTTTATGGGGGTGATTCTGATCTCCAGTTTTTGTGAAGGTTTGATCTGCATGGGCCTGTCTTGGACAACTGCCATTTCTCTCACACAACTATGAGAAAAGAGAAAGTTTCAAAAGAATTTCTTTTAGGCGCAGACAATGAAAAACGGACGATCATTGAGATTTTTTAGTGATTAGTGTGGCGAGCGTTACAAAAGGACAATGTGGAAAGGAATCTCCAGAAAACTGCTTGGTATTATTTTGCTAGCCAAGTAAAAAACAGTCTGGATTCTCGACATTGAGAAACGACTGCAAGCTAGAGGCGTGGACTCTGTTGAGGTTTTGAATGTTACCCAATCGCTAACGCTTGGCCCTGACTTGTGTAATGCACCACTTCCAACGCCATGAAGCTTATCAAAATTTGCCTCCGCCGTAAGCAACCATCCTGCACTGCGAAGACAGAAGTGCCGAATCAAACAAGATGGCAGTTGATGCTAATTCAGTATTTGTAAGCCTGGCTAACGCGGACTAAATGCTTCCTTCCCTTCCTCCGCTGCAGTCGGTAAATTACAAGCAGCTCAGAAAAAAAATAAATAAATCAGCGTCATCGTTCACAACTTCTGTTCGCTGATTGGCCCGGTTGAAATTTAACTGGAGGAACCCAGCTTAATGGGAGAAATCCCAGACAGAGCACTGAAGGGAGATGAGAATCAAGCAAGGCAATGACTAGGCTAACAGAAAAACCCGATGATTTTTGAACTTGGAACTGATCATCAGCTGATTTCTCCATCCATCTCTAGGGTACATTCTCATCACTGTGAGCGTTGCTAAATGAGCATCCATAATATGTGCACAAGGATCTTGTACATTATTTGCCAACCGTGTTGGCAAATTGTGTGAGTGAAAATAGAAACAGCGTGTGCATGTTCACACATGCACACTGATTTATTTTATTTTTTTCTCCTCGATCTCCCTCTTGCTTCTTTAAGCCAACGAGGCACCCACGCCACCTAATGCTCGGTTTCCGAGCCAAGAGGCTCTTCGTTTATTTTGCCAACCTGTTGACAGCAGTTCACAGATCACAGCCCCTTCCTCCAACCCTGTTTAACATCCAACTGGAAGCAGTGTCTGCTTTCCAGCTGCGTTATCTCCGCGAAGCCAAAGCTAATGGCATGTTTCCTTCAAGGCCATGATAGAGATTGTGTAGTCGGGCGAGGACGGCACCCAAGTCAAAGTCTGCCTCAAAAATAATAAAGCCAGTCAGAGTGGTAAGTGGATGAAAGGGGGAAGTTTTTCTGCCACTATATTCCCCAGTTACAGTAAACGCCAGCCTCCCTCCCTCTCATCTCTCGCCGCTGCTGCCTCTGCCGTAGCCCCGTTTTAGTATCTTGCTGTGGTGTAAACATCTGATAGCAGAAGAATTTGCCCTTTGGAGAGGAATGGTGCCTTTTTTTGAGTTCCTGTTTCTTTTGATCTGTCTTTTCGTAAAGAGGAAAGCAGTAAAACTTTCACTTCCCAAATCTTTTTTGTGGCACAGCAGCAAAAAACAAAGTCTTTTCCATCCCTCTCAGGCTCCCCGATGACCTCTTTTGTGCATTATTTTTTTTTTGTTTGTCTTTTTTTAGGCATCTGCCGATTTTTATTCGCTGACAGAAAATTGTTGAGGCTTACGTGACCCAGCATGGTGGTGGTTGCTGGGTCATGGGAAATGGTCATGTGACAGCGGTTGCCATGGTTTGGGTGGGGAGGGGGACAGAGGGGTTAGGGAGGTGGTATGGGTGTTCACGGTGACCTTGTGACCCTTGGGTGGTGGGGAGGGGAGAAGACACTGCTGAAATGGTGACTGGTGTGTTTCATCACTTATTTCTGAGTGACTTGTCATCATTATGATAGGCGGGTTAACAATATATTTTTAATAGTTGGGCCCACGCCTAAAAATGTAAGGGTAAGTTTGAATATTGTCATCTCAATTTGAGTGTTTTGCAGTTGCTCTGAGAGGAAGTGGAGCAACACGGACAGCATGAGTGGGTGGTGTGTGTGTGTTTGCATTTTTTTTTTTTGACATGGGACTTAATCACTATACAGGCTTCTTGGCGAATTACAGGTTTCTCTTTCTCTCCAAGCGTCACAGGGCTATTTTTGAAGCACTCTTGTGTTCAGCAGATTGGTTTTGCCTTCCTTATTTTTCTTGGCAGATGTTCCTGTTGTGTGCTGCATTTGTCGCAGTGAGCGTTCTCTTTTGAAATCCATTTGCTCCTGTTAGTTTTGTTTTCACTTTACCATCCTTCGGAGAACCTTGGCACGTCATCAGATAACCCTCTGCAGTAATTCACCAAAGTCTCTCAGCTTTAGTTTATGAGTAGTAGCGTTAGCTTTTTTTTTTTTCTTTAACCAGCAGCTCAAGACGATTTTAAGTTGGTTTATTAAAAGGTTAGAACCACGTAATACCTGCACGAGCTTGGCTTGTCTATTTTTTGTACAATATCGTACCTTCATCCTCCTGTATGGATGATTATCTGCTTCTATGCAAACAACTGCATAGTGCAAACTATTCTGAGTCTGCTAAAGTCGCTAAATGATTATTTTGACATCGGTGCTTCAACATGACGAAGGCCCACTGCGGTCCTGGCCCCTCTTGGACTTGTTGTTATAACTTCTGCGTCTGGACCCACACCAAAAAGCAAAACAAAAACAAAAAGAAACCACACCAAGAGACAGCTGAAATAATTCACTCATGTTTCAACGAAACCCCACTTCAAAAATCTTCTAACTATTTGCCCCCAATCCGGATTATGAGAATCCACAGAGGAGAGGTCGTGACTGGCAGTCGCCCGTTCGCCTCAGCCAGTGTGCTCGAAAACCAGGGAGTGGCTTTCTCGATCTGAGCTGGCTGTGCCAAGACGGGAATGCCCCAGAATTCCTCTCATTCCCACCATTCCTTCAGCTGTAATGTCTGGGCATGTCTTTAGCCGCGGCTGCAGAAGGGATTGAAGGGGGAACGGAGAAACTTGAGCTCCAAGTGTTATTGCGTCTGATCACATGCTTCGGCCTTGCACTTGCCTTTCGTGAGTCGAATTAGTTATGCCCCTTATGGTCCTCTCTGTTCTTTGTTTTGGTTGTCACAATCTCGTCAAAGCAGGAAGCTCGTCAAAAAAGAAAAAAAGCCCGCAAAATATAAACAATAAGCTGCTGAGAGAGGGGGAAAAAAGAAGATTAAAACAAAGAATGAGTTTGTCTAAACAGGCCCATGGATGCTGTCTCACTGCTGCGCCACAAACTGCTCTTTATGCCCATCTTTATGTAATCATAGCACAGTTGTCTTGGTTCACACCACAGCTCCATCGGAATGGAAAACTAGGCCACGGAAGGCAGGCGGACAGAACCACTGATTTATGGTCTTAATAGCTTTTGTACACCGGCGTCAGTGAGAGCCACTAACGCTTAAGGACCCGATTTGTAATCGAGCTGGGCTACCATCAAAACGGATTGTTGAGTCTGTTGGGTCGTGCGCACCGGCAACCGATGTTTGTGTCGGCGCGATGCAGTTTTAAACTGGCTGCATAAAATAATCAATTTACAATAAAACAACCTGCTGTTCCTCTCAAGTCCCATCACAGGTAAAAAGCTGTGTCGCGCTCAGGTAGCATGCAAAACAAGTTTCCGCCACGTGAGCCGATCGGCAGCGGGAAGTTACGCGCTCGAATGCGTTGCATCGTTTGACTTTCATCGGCCCGTCCTCTCAACAGGCCGATGTTGCACCTTCTGGTGAGACGGTTTGATTTTATTGCAACCACTTTTCTTGTTTTCTGTGTTTACTCCAATGAATCGAGCGTATGATTGACT